AAAAACCCAAGGCTTGGTCCTGGAAGATTCTACAGTGGCCATCACAGTCACCTGACTTGAACTCCATAGAACATCTCTGGTGGGATTTGAAGAAGTAGGTTGCAGCATGCAAACCCAAGAATATTAGTGAACTGGAGGCCATTGCTCAAGAGGAATGGACTGATAGTCCTCAGGAATGCTGCCAGAAGCCGGTGTCAATTACCACTCCAATCTGCCCCCGCTTTTGATGCTTTTTATTGAGTTTTCCAAGTGTCAGAGACACAATCAAATAACAAACAACCTTCATACATACAGCAATCGGGTCAACATAACCCAGGCAATTATGCAATATCTACATCCTCTTCACATATCAGAAAAACATACGATTACAAGGTTACACAAGTATTTGGTTACAAGATTCAATACGTGGTAGTCACGCTCCAACGCAGGGAGTATACAACATAGGGAGTTGGACCCACATGTAGTCAATATGGTGGGAAATACATCAGGGCTTCAGAGAACCAGAGATGGGGGTCAATAGGCTAAAGAATGAGAGAGTGTATTCAGTATGTTACACCATCTCTACAGATGTGTTAGAGGAGGACAGCCATGGATCCCAGATACGCCCAAATCGTGCCGGGTTGCCCCTCTGCTCGTACGTGAGTTTGTAAATGCCCCCCCCCCCTATACTTACCTTTCCACAAACGCTCTTTCCCCTCTACTGGTGCAGGTGCACTATTCGTTCCCCGTACTGCTGTCCAGAGCAGCCCTGCACTCCGGATTTCGAATTTCGTTCACAAATGGCGAGCAGTTGAAGTATAAACACTTTTTTTTTTGCATACATCAACGGCTAGCAAACAGCAGATATATGCAAAAACATTTACAAAAACATAAAGGTGATTACTTACCTTGGTCACTGCCGCTCGCTCCCGTCTGAAGAACTGGAGCTGCTCGAGCGGCTGAGCAGGATGATGGGGCGGGCGCATGCGCAGTAGAGCTCTTCGGCGGGGAGAAGGAGGAGAGACACAGTGGAGATAAATGCATGCGGCCGTGAGCGGGCACGTCGGACAGACACTGTTGGACCCGAGGAGTCTGCGCTGGATGAGAGACCGGCACCAGCGCTGGAGGGACTTCTCAATACAAGTGGAAGGAAGATGATCGGATCAAGACGCATCATTTAAGCGAAGTCCTTAAAGCAGCATGGGAGGGGGAATGAAAAAAAAATGTGTGACTGGTCAGCTGAATGCACTGACCAATGAGAAGCGCTTCTAGCTAAGAAGCGCTTCTTATTGGTCAGGTGACTGCTCTGACCAATGAGTGCTCGCCATTTGCGAGCGAAATTCAGAGCTGCACCTTTAGGGATTGGGTGCACTTGGGAAGCAATTTGTCCCATTGTTGAGAGGAAAATGGTTCTTCCCAATAAGTTTCCCTTTGGGTCATTGGGGGAGTGGTGTGGGGAAGACCAGTTCAAAGTGAGTAGGAGGGCGACTGGGAGGATATCATATGGTTTTAGCATAAGTACAAACTCAACACATTCCCCTCAGTTTTTACACAGGGCTGTAAAAGGGAAGGAGGAGCTCAAACCTGACTCCGGTAGAGAAACTTCGACTGAATACCGCGGCAGTTCCTTCTGATCCACGTGGACAACACGGAACGAAAGCTTCTGTCCCATAAGTAATCTCTTCACATCTATAAGACATTCAGGAGACCAGCCGCAGGGAGGTTGACGAGCATGGGCCACACGGAAGTTCATGGCCTGCAGCAAAACCAAGA